ATTGAGTTGGTACTTTGTATTTTGATTCTCTGGTAGAGATATTGTTCACAATTTTATTGTCATATTTAGTGTTTGATAGATAACTATACTAAAATCTTTAAGTCACCTTACTTAATAGTATTTCTTCAGGCGAGGCGACCCATTAGAAAAACCATTAACAATTACTCTATTTAGTGGCAAAGTCAGCAGTGCCTTGAGCCTGCATGCCTATGCCTAACAACTTTTACACCGCAAGTACCAACTTCAGATCTCTTATCGTTTGGAAAAAAAAAAAAAAAAAAAAGAGCACCAACTTCAGATGGGAGGGAATCTTTTGCCGCGAGACAGAGCCTAGCAGCTCCAGAAAAGATATATTTTATTTTTTTTAACAAGTGAAGGGGCTCGAATCCGATATCTCTCTTTTACACTCTGTTCTCTCGTACTATCCAACTCATCCCTCCTACAAAATAAAATTGAGATGATCTCCAAGTCTGTATGTTACATTTTTTCTTTACAAGAATTTGCCTCCATCACGAATGCTAAATATATTCATCTCCGGAGCCTAAAGTCATGAAAGTAGGTGAACATTTCATTACTGCTTTTTTTTTTTTTATCCTTCCACCCTTTTTCACACCCTTTTTTACCCTCAATTGCATCACCGTTCGGTATTCACTTGGACGGATATATGAATAATTAATCGTGACATAGTAACCAACAAAAAGCATATATACTACTAGTACAACTCACTGCCATGAACAAAAGTCGTCAAACACACATATATTTATAGAAAAGTATTAAGAAGCTAAAATTACAATCAATCATCAAACGAATCCAGAGGCTAATCAGGGTATTCAATTCAAAGGACAAACTGATTTGGAACCCGGCGCAGCGTGAAAGAGGAAAAAAGAAATCAGAGGCATTGATCAGAAGAGACTTTGTAGTTTATTCTTCACCAAAAAATTAAGCTATAGTATTACACATATATTAATTAGCATACTAAAACATGACAGGATTCAAGATGCTAGCTTCGTCCTCTTGGGTTCAGACAGATCAGTGGTCAAAACACAAATCTTTTTTTCAGCAACTGAAATAAACACTCATCCAACCAATTGTTGACAGGAAGGTGCTCCCATAAACGCAGGGTAAAGACCCCACGATCTTTCGATGTAAGATGGTGACCCAACCCCTCCGGTGCACACCCTTACCAAATTAATGGTTTGTTTTTTTCAGCAACTGAAATAAACACACACACGCACTCAATTAAAACAAACACATCCAATCAATTGGTGACAGGAAGGTACTCCCATGGACCTTGAACTCAGAATAAAGACCCCACAATCTTTCGATGTGGAATGGTGACCCAACCCCCCGGTGCACACCCTCACCAAATTAATGGTCTGTTTTTTTCAGCAACTGAAATAAACACAGACATGCACTCAATCAAAACAAACACGAGAATAACCCCAAAGAGCGATCCAAAGGTGATCTAACGGGAACCCACAAGAAACACACATCCAACCAATTAATGACAGGAAGGTGCTCCCATGAACCTTAAACCCAGAGTAAAGATCCCGTAATCTTTGGATGTGGGATGGATCAAAACACAAATCAGGGTCGCGGAATTTAACTATGTAGCCTGTCTGTCCAATTGAAGATTTCGGCGAGAAAGACATTCAATATATATACACACACACACACACACGCATGCTAGTACTGTATAAGGAGAAAAAGTAGATTCCTTTTTCAATCTGACCATGCTCTGGGTGATAATTGATATTAGTCTCATTACACACAATCTATACCCTTAAACAATAGCATAACGAAATTTAATAATGCAAATCAAACCTTATTATATACGTTTACATATTCCTTCTACTTGATGCAACATCAAGAACTTATCGTTAAGCTAGCTAGCTCCCTTGCTTTTGTTGCTTCTTATCCATTGAGAGAGAGAGAGAGATGGAGCATACTGATCAAACTCAAAATGGGCTTTTGGAGGAGTTTTTAGTGGCTCCAAAGTTGGATAGTTACTGGACCACTTTCCCCGGTGGAGGGATCGAAATCTTCCCAAATGGTTGGAACTGCGAGTCTTTCGATCGCAATGATCATAACCAAGATTTACTAACCTCAAACCCAAACTCCAACTCGCTTTTAGGACTCCTCTCATCACCGGCAGCATTACTAGCGGCAGGGTCTCACGAATCTGGCTTTGCATTCCCTTTTGGCGAAAGCACCAGCTATCCGTTTCTTGATCATGTTGGTGATGGTTTCAGTACGGCAGTACCGGAACTGGGCTCCTCGTACGATCGTTCTAATTTTGACAGTTTACCTCCAGTTCCCATCCAACAAGATTATGGAGAAGGGATGGTGGAACATGGAGGAAATCTTGGGCTCCGTGGTCTCCAAGAGGGGAAAGGATTCTGCAAGGTGGAGGTTGAACAACCAACCGCCACCAGCATCGGTGCATCTAGAGTGGGCTTGTGCGGAGACAAAAGGAGCAAGATCAAGAAGGCTGAGGGGCAACCGTCCAAAAATCTCATGGCAGAAAGGAGGCTTGTGCGGAGACAAAAGGAGCAAGATCAAGAAGGCTGAGGGGCAACCGTCCAAAAATCTCATGGCAGAAAGGAGGCGAAGGAAGCGACTCAATGACCGGCTTTCCATGCTTCGATCAATTGTTCCTAAGATTAGCAAGGTCATCGTCTCTAGAAGTTTATTTGGCATTACACATGCTTTTCCTTTGCTTCATTTTTTCTTTTTTTGGTGTGTAGGATGAAATTAACAAGTGCTGCTTGATTTAACAGATGGACAGAACATCCATACTTGGAGATACCATAGATTACATGAAGGAGCTTTTGGATAAAATCCACAAGTCGCGAGAAGAGAGTACAGAGGAGAACATCAACCAGCTGACTAAAATAGGAAACTTGAAACAGCTAAAGCCAAATGAGGTAGTTGCCAGGAACCCTCCAAAGGTATAGTTCTGCACCCAACGGATGCAACTCTCTATCCAGTATCCAGGACATTGTCATTTGTCACTTCTTATGCGCTGCAGTATCGTAAATTCCTAGTTTCCACAGCTAAATTTAATTGTCTAAGGCTTCAATGATGCATCAGTTTGACGTGGAAAGGAGAAGTGTAGACACGCGGATCGAAATTTGTTGCACTGCCAAGCCAGGGATGTTGTTGTCAACAGTCAGCACAATGGAAGCTTTGGGGCTTGACATTCAACAATGTGTTATCAGCTGTTTCAATGATTTCTCAGTACAAGCCTCCTGTTCCGAGGTATGCATCTGACCATTTGCTCGGTAAATGCTTCAGAATCGCCTTTTGCGCCTTTTTCCCCTCTTTTTGGTTCTTTTTGCGTGGGGGGCAGTACGTTAATTATCATCTTTTGCTAATTGCGTGGTAAAAAAATTAGTAATTGACCTGCTCCAGCCTTTCGTGCTATCTCATATTCTAATTAATTGATTAGGTGGCGGAGCATCGCAGAATTGTTGGATCTGAAGATGTTAAGCAAGCACTGTTTAGGAATGCAGGTTATGGAGGAAGATGTCTATAGAGAGCGTGGCTGCAGCAGAATAAATCTGGACATTATCAGAAGCCTAGCGAGGAACATGGAAGATGATCTGTTGTGTTAGCAATTTTTTAGTTTCTAATAGTGTAGGCTTTCTAGAGGTTCATTTTTAAATCATTAGATGTATATGATGATTTCTGCCATTAGTGGAGATTTAATGAAAGTACGATGTTTTATAATACACACACACATGATGAATTGGATCTACAAATTCTGAATCGATCTGATGGAGGAACCATACGGTCATTACCCATTATTTCCTATTCTATCATAGATATATAGATTAAAAATAAAGCATAAACGGATTTATAAAATCCTGGGAAACATATCCAATGCAATGATCATATGTCAGCAAGGAATGTCTCGAGCAGTGAAAAGATCCTTGGAACAATATACAGAAATTGACATCTTGATACGTTTCCAAAACTAGTCAAATATGAGTTTATACTTAGGGCTGGTTTTTGACTGGCTGACCCTGTTTGGTATGAAGAATGAAATCCACAACCTAACCAACAACAAATGGTAATAGCAGTGCTGGGGAAGTAATTTGGCAATAATCAAACTTTTCGTCTCTCGAGTCCAGAAATGGATCTCATATTTGTACAAGTATATCGTTTCTTGCAGCAAAGATGAAATTGAAATTGGGTTTTCAGCAGACTAAGAAGAAAGGCGAGGCAGTAGGTCTGGTTGCTTTCAGACAAGAGAACAAAGAAAGAATCTACTTTAGCTAGAGCTTAAAGACGAGCTTCGTAAGCTGACATTTGAAGAGTTGGATACTCTCTACTTCAGCAGTCAGCAGTAAGTAGTAAATAAACTTGGCATATCCCAGGACTAAAGGCAAGTCTTTGTTATCTACGTCAGAAGTTCTCTACCGAGCAAAATGGCTTCGGGAAACAGCCATGGATAACCCACGCTTTAGGCAGCTATTCTCAGTCTCATAACTCCCATTTTCCAGAGTCGTTTGACGCAACAGAGAAATATCTTACAGGATGGCTATCTTCAGGCATCCAGATCCATGGAGCCAAAAGATCCTTGGTGTCTCTTTCTGTAGCATCTGAAGCAGCGGAAGCATAATAGCCATGAAAGCACCAGCTATCCGTTTCTTGATCATGTTGGTGATGGTTTCAGTACGGCAGTACCGGAACTGGGCTCCTCGTACGATCGTTCTAATTTTGACAGTTTACCTCCAGTTCCCATCCAACAAGATTATGGAGAAGGGATGGTGGAACATGGAGGAAATCTTGGGCTCCGTGGTCTCCAAGAGGGGAAAGGATTCTGCAAGGTGGAGGTTGAACAACCAACCGCCACCAGCATCGGTGCATCTAGAGTGGGCTTGTGCGGAGACAAAAGGAGCAAGATCAAGAAGGCTGAGGGGCAACCGTCCAAAAATCTCATGGCAGAAAGGAGGCGAAGGAAGCGACTCAATGACCGGCTTTCCATGCTTCGATCAATTGTTCCTAAGATTAGCAAGGCGTGAATCATTTGATAACGAAAGAAGCTTTCCGTGGGCTGATGAAGAAATTTCCTGGCATCTTTTGTCCAATCCTAGTCGTTCTCTATTCAATTCAGGGGTGGAAACACATTGAGTGGATGGATCCAATGTTGACTCCAAAACATTGAAAAGATCTACTTCATAATGTTGATCTGCAGCATACTGTTTATGTAGTAGCTGTCGGACAGTTCTACGTGTAACACGACTCTTCTGCTTGCTGTATCTCAACTTCTTCGTGTCAGATTCTGAAGCATTTAGCAATTTACTTGCTGAGAGTGACAGGGAGGCATTCACTCCTTTTGTCCTGGATCGTGGTTGTTGTTGCGCTGGGGTCAAAAGCTCAGAATGGATTTTGTCAAAACATTCCTGGGCAGATTTTCCAGGCACCTGCAACAAACTTCCAAGATTTAAAGCCATATCAAGACTGCAGAAATGCAAGCTAGTAAACGGTGGAGAGAACATCTATCTGTATAAACCTCAAAGTTGGAAATGCAGTTTTAGCAATGGTGTCATTGTTCTAGTGTGTGAATAACGAGTAGGATTATCAGACCAACATTGGCTTATGTGTGAACTCTGCAAAAAATTTTGATACAACAAGAAGACTAAGAACAAGTATCTGAATCTTATACGAAACGAGAATCGTAGATTTAAGAATTAAAGGAGGTCAAGCATATTATAAGTTACCAATCTATTTGTTCTTGCAATTGGATTTCATTTTCCTGGCTGCACTTCTAAGAAGCAGAGCGATTGGGTTTATGAACTGAAGCAAGGGAAAAAGAAACCACATCAAGTTTTGCGAAGCCCTGCCTATTATTGGGGGCACAAATCAGTTCATCATAAGTTCCATCAAACTATAATTGTCCTTGTGTTACAATTTTATTCAGGGATTATATTTGACAAGTGCATATTTTCAAAAGAAACCAAGAGAATTAATTTAAACATGCATTTCCAATTGCTTGTAACTAATTTGATAATTATGAGAGCTATGAATGGATAAAAGTATAGGCCAAAAGTTATTCTAGTACATTTTTTCTAATAAAATAACACAGATACCATTAACAAGAAACCAAATTTCTTTGCCAAATTAATCAAGTGGCAGCACATTACCATTTTGGCAACTTTCTTCCAGAAATGGGGTGTCGGCATTGCTGCAAAATAAGCTCTTTCCAGCGCTAGTTCTTGCTCTGCTGTCCATCCCTGAAACATCCTATGCTCTTCTTCAACTTGGATTTTCTTCCTTTTTGCAGGAACCTGCTTTTTTTCAGCTTCAAAGCCAACACTCCGACCTTCCCCTCCTATTAAGTCTGTGGACAGAACATTAGTAGTTGCATTTTCACTAATAGGCTCTCTAGGTAAGTTTGCACCATGTTTATCTTCTCCATCAACTGAAAGGACCTTTTTGTACAAACAACCAAAGGGAATATTCTGGATGGACTCATTACCCTCGGCGTTACCAGTTCTTGCACGGTGTTCATCTTTAATTCCTCGAGTGGCACTTCTTGTAACCCTCTTTTCAATTTTATACATGCATTGCTCAGACAAATTAACATCCCCTTTAGCTTTTCCGTTATCAGAAATGCATTTCAAAGTGACTCCATCACAACCCTTTCCATTGCCCCTCACACCTCCATTGTTACACCTCCTTAAAGAACTCCTGGTCACCCGCTTTTCTGTCTCAGATTTTGCATTCATGCAGACTGGCTTACCTATCTTACTCACCTTAGATGAGCGCTCCAGCTTAGATTCATCAGAAACAATCCTATTAACATTGCCATTCTGAGAAAACCTAGGAGACCGTCGAACAACACGAGAGTTGTCAACTCCACCATTCAATCCTGTCAATTTTCTGGGCTCGCTACACACATTCGTGGAACTTCTACACCGGACATTGGATTCTTTCGCCTTATCTGAAAGTTGGCCTCTTTTTAAAGAATTCCCGCTTGGATTTGAGCTAAGAGGTGTGAGATCCGAGAGAGGGACCCGTTTCTTGTTTGGAACATGATTCGGAGTCTGCAGGTATTCTGAGTCGGGTTGATTTGGCTTCAGAAATCGTGGAGATCTGCGAATTGCGACAACGGGTTTCGCTCTGTTCTCAGTAGAGTTTCTCTGGCGCATTTTAACGAACAGTTGGTGTTGCAGAGATTATGATGGCAGACAGGCGAGGGAAAGCACAAGATTCAAAGTCTGAAAAGATATAGGGATGGAATACAATAAAAAGGCTCAAAGCCTAAACTCGATGCACGAGATGTTCGTGTTAAGTAATGGGCTACGCAACAACATTGAAAGTCTCGGGCTTGACTAGAGGGCCCATGGTGAACTTGCTGTACAAATCTGCGTTTAACCGACATATGTACGGAAATTTCTTTAATGTTTTCGATATTTGCAGTTTAGGACCTTGGATTTTTTTTGGGGGGGCAAGTGCTATTGATTTTATTGTTGATGAGTAAAATTAATCGAACTATTCATTCCGCGACGCATGACGCCTCGTGAAGTAGCAATTGGATAAAACAAGATTTGGCCACGCATAACTGCTTGATCATGCTGTATTTTATTACAAATTGTTTGTGCATTTTTTGTAACAAAGATGGTATATTCAATCACTTGTATATGAATCATAAATGTGTTAATGTAAGTAAGAAGTTCTGAATTTGAAACTTCTTACTTGCACTTTAAAAAAATGAAAAAAAAAACATGTTATTTAAGGTAAAATTACGTGACGTTTCTTGGTATGCACATTTAGAGTTTTTACCTTTGTGACAAATTTTGAACTTCTATAGAGCAAGACGGTTGGCACCCAACACTACATACACTTTTGTTTGTTATTTTTTTTATTTTAGATTTCAGGTCATATCAATTTTACTTCAGATGTAGCTATTGTCAAGTTCTAAGTTGTCTCAAGAGAGAATTTGATGTTCATGAATAATCATTTCTTGTGGGAATGTTTATAGGTCATACCATGCTGCCTTACTTTCAATGGTAAAATACTAAAAAAACTTATTGTGGTTTGTCAAATATGCAATTTACTTCTCTCTAATTTGAAAATCTACACTATAATTCTCTGTGATTTTCATTAAATTGAAAATTGAACAATGCATTCAATCTAACAATTGTAGGTGAAATGTCAATATTACCCTTGTAAAAACGGACTATTTGGAATTTGTCGAATATTCAATTTAACTCTTTTTTAGTTTAAAAAATTGCACTATAGCTCCTTGTTGTTTCGACTAAATTGGAATTTGAATAGAAAGCATTTCATGTATAACAAGGGTAATATTGAAATTTCACATACAACCATTAAATTGAATGCTTTCCGTCCACTTTTTAATGTAGTCGAAATCATAGGGAGTTATAATGTAGATTTTCGAATTAGAGGAACTTAAATTGAACATTTGACAAATTATAGGGAGTTTTTTTTTTTACCCTATTTTCAAGTAAGAGCTTGTATCATAATCTCATCTATGCTAGGTAAGGGAAAAAGAAAAGGTAACGGAGACAAAGGAGAGTCATGAAACCATTCATTTGAATAGTGTGTTTTTGAGTGTTTGTATAAAATTTTATTTTAATTTACTATAGAATTTGAGGAAATACTTTCATGGATTCATGATCCCCATCCCCTTCCCTTGTTCTATGATCTAGACTTGATCTCGATTAGGGATGAAAGGTGGGGTCACGGGGGCATTAGGGGAGATGGAGGAGAAAATATGACAGAAAAGAAATGAGAGAAGAAGAGGAGGAAGAAAGGAAGGGAAAGAGGAAGTGAGAGAAAAAAAAATAAAGTTATGAGGAGAGGCGACGACAACAGCAAACGGCGATGGGTTAAGAAAGGGAGGGGGTAGAATAGAAATGATTAGACAGGGTGGTGTAGAAATGATTAGATAGGGTGGTGATAGAAGAGGGAAATGAACGTGTATTTTTAAGTATTTTGGGGTGTATATTTTAAAAATTTTATGTGTTTTTATGTATTATTAAAAAAAAACTTGTCTAATAAAAACATGCAAAAAAAAAAAAAAAACTAGGATGCCAAGCACACCCGCAGCGATCCTAGGGGCAGCATTTTATTTATTTGTTTGTTGTTTCTTGGCATAATCGAAGCTTTTGTCCTGGAAAGATACGGAAACTAATGACAGCAGCATCAGCAAAGGCAGCCATAGTTTCGTGGCATAAATAATTAAATTAGCCAAATGGGTAATGATCATCCCACTGAGTTTATTAATTAAAAGAAACTTTAATTACCTTTTAGGTCAAAGTGTGGAGCATAACAGAAAAGCGAATTTGGGCCACCAGATGAATCCTGGGGCGCATTGGATTGGAGAACCTTATGACGGTGTTTCAGGATCTCAAATAATTACCTAATCCATGAATCGGCTGTCGGAACCCTCAAACCAATAAGATACGTACAACCGACTACTAATGACTCGACTTCCAATCTAATAAACCCAAGCATTCTATAATCATTATAGTACAAACTATTCCACTACAAGAGAAAACAAGGATTGGTGATCAGAACCTACGAAATCCAAACAAGCTATTTCCCTCGCAACACTCACCAGTATACAAAATCCACTGTGATCAAGAATTCCAAATCCTTGTTAAAAAGGATAAGAGTAGAGAAAGCGGCGGACCCACCTCAAAAGCCAAAATTGAACTAAACCAAGAGATGCATAGGTAAGTTACCTAACATTTTAAACTAGCTTTAAGAGGAATTCCATTCCACTTAGTATACTATACTATTCATGGTACGACATTGCTTCATTGCCTGATTCAACTCCTCTTTCTTTCTTTGTTTAATTGCACCTCCACTGTCCAAACTATTCTCTCCGTGGACCAATGAAGTTGTTGCCTAAAAGAAGATAACCCTCCGTCCCTCACGATTAGGGATGCAAACGAGTCGAGCCGAGTCGAGCTTTGGCCTTATCGAGTCGAGCCTTAACTTAATTTCATCGAACTCGAACTCGAGCTCGAGCTCAACGAGCTGGTAATTTTCAAGCTCGAGCTCGAACTCGAATTCGAGCTCGAAAAAATAAAAAATAATTATTTTATTTTTAAAAAAATAAATAAAATAATATTTTTTCTTAATAAATAATAAAATATTAAGAATATTTATGTAATTTAACTATTAAAAATAAAAATAAAAAAATAAATATATATATACTCGAGCTCGCGAGCCGGCTCGCGAGCTAACGAGCTTAATGTTTTGAGCTCGAGCTCGAGCTCGACTGCTCGGCTCGCGAGCTAACGAGCTTAATGTTTTGAGCTCGAGCTCGAGCTCGACTCTGGCTCGAGCAGCTCGAGCTCGACTCTGGCTCGTATCGAGCGGCTCGCGAGCGGCTCGATTCGTTTGCACCCCTACTCACGATGAAGGAAACTGTCGCGAATGCCGTACGTACGTGTCCTGAAAAACAGACACGCAGGCGATCAACAAACAAGTACGCATATGTTTACATTACAGCAAATAAAAGGCATTTCAGTGTAGACTGGAGTAACTCTTTGATGCGGACATTAATCTTCCTGGCTCAAATGGGATGCAACGAAACCGGAGAAGTGCAACGAAAGTACAAGGAAAATGGGATGAAACGAAATCGGACAATGGAATTAGAGGTTACGTTGGAACGTTACACATTCATTACCTTTCACTTTTTGATAGATAAGGCAAGCCCACTAATATTCCCACTAACAATTGTTTCCCAAAAGGTGCTCCCTCTCTCCTCCTCGTATTTTGGTTTCTACAAAGAAAGGGCCCCCTATCATCAGGGGTCTCTCTACTTATCATCCGTACGTTTACCGCCGTGGAAAAATTTGGCTTCTTTTTTACATTTTCTTTATGTGTTGCTAGTGTAATAAAACCACTCACGATCACGATCACGATCACGATGTAAGTTTACATTATAAAAAAAAAAAAAAAAGCTGATCTGTTGCCTGCCCCAGCAGAAGATCAGTAGTAGTATGATGGATGCAGTTGTAGATAGAAGTGAATGAAAAGCGGAGCATGGTACTGTAGTACTTAGATGAAGGCAATCAATCCTCTCACATGGTTTACAGTTCCCACAACTACCATTCCATGTTTGCTTTGCGCAGACGCAGACATGGTGTAGAATAGTTGGTCAGCAGATCGAGGATATGTGGTGATAATTGCGTCCTCTTTGATGCCAACTGTTGGATGTCGAATTGGTGGACGTTATGTGCCCATAGATAGAGAAAATGAGTAAACAGTGTGGGGGAGTAGATGGTACGAGTTACGAAATCTCAAGTTCGATGAAATTTGAAAGCGATTTTGGAAATAGACAGACAGGAGTTTATACATAGAGTAGTAGTGAAATACTCCCTCCGTCCCGTTTTGTTAATCTTAATTTTTTTTTCACACAGATTAAGAAAGTGTAATTAATTTGGTTGAAAACATAAATTTAGATTAATAATTTTTCAAAATACCCTTATGCTAATCACGAAGAGTGCCAATTAATATCAGTTACAGCTAATGGGTTAGTATTGGAAAAGCTCAATGTATTCAATGTAGTGGGTTAGTATTTAATAACAATGTATTAATAACAAGATATTTAATAAGGGTATTTTAGACAATTTGAAATATTACTATATTTCTTAATGGGAAAGTGGACTACAATTTGGGACAGACAAAAAAGGAAAACAAGACTATCAAAAGTGGGACGGAGGGAGTATTGAACTTTCCTTTCTCTTTATGACAGGCCAAAATTCATGATAAGATGATGACTGACCAAAATATACGTAATGGACAATGTCTAGACGATGAAGGGGTGCTGAAATAGTAGGGTAACCTCATCATTAGTTTCCAACTTTAATTTTTCTTCTCTGTGCAGTGGTAAGAATCCTTTGTGAGTTACGTGTCTCTCGCGACTTTCTTTAGTCATTTTTGCGTTTGCATTTCCGGTAAATAAAGAAAGGAATGGGATGATGCATTGATGTGGGGTTGGTTTTGGGAAATACCGAAGCTGTGTTTGAACTAGCTATTTTTTGAAATATTTTCGAAAAATTTTATTGTAATAGTGTATATGAAAAATTTTTATTATAAAATTTTTTTGAAATATTTGATATATTATATGGATAGGATATTTTTAGAATTATTATGTATTATTGTAACATTGTATTTGAAAAATTTATTTTTGAAAAAATAGCTAATCCAAATGGAGCTTGAGATCTGTCATAAATTTCAGGCAACTTCTGGTTCTAATCGTGGGTACTGTAAAAAAAAAAAAAGATTTTTTTCGTACTATAATGCACGTGAACTAAAATTCGTCGAGGCAGCAGTGGTATTTGAAGAAAAAAAAAAATCCAGACGGGGAGGGAACTGAAGTAGACGGTTGAGGAATCTGGTCGTAATGGAAATGCAGTATGCAGATACCCAGGTGGACGAATACAAGTAGTTAAGCAAAGGGAGCTTTGAGTAGATGGAATGTGCCGAAATTAGGACAGCGTCCCATCCTGAGATCAGCAATCAGCACTTGAAAAGAGCATCCAATCAAATCAAAGGACAAAAAGTGATTTGTACTGAAAGGACGGACTAAGCCTCAGGGTATCAGTACAAAACGCCCGCTGGTCTAGTACTCGTACTGGAGAAGGTGTTTGGTGGAGCAAAAGCGAAGCACTCGCCTGATTTGGTTTGTACAGTGAAATTAGGTCATGACAATAATGTCGAAGAGAAAGCGCCGGTAGTTGATAGAAAAGAACAAACGATAGAAAAAAAATTCATTGAAGCAATAATCAATCACGTCCTGCTTCGTATGGTGGAACCCTTGATCCAATTAAATCATGCAAAGGTAATAATATATAATTTTCCACGCCACCTACCATGTGCCCCCTCCTTCTAACTTGTTACAAAAATTTCACTCCTTTTTCGTTCAAAAAATAATTATTAAAAATCATGCAAATTAGGTCCATATTCTGAGGCAATACATAATCCTCGATTCTGAAATCATATAATTGGCCAATAGAAAAGCAACAGGTAATTGCTAATTTAAGTCGTTTGCGACCTTGCGGTGGAAATTGATGATTAATCCTGGTATGGTACAGGAGTGTTTGAATAGCACAAATATCTCAAATAAAATGTATTCTTTAATACGATGGAATCGCATGCGGTTCCTTCTCGAATTGAACCTCTTTCAACGGCGTTCCTGGTTCGAAATGGCCATGCCACCCGAATTGCAAGAAACTTTTAAGCAGCGGCTGCTTGACAGAAAAGACACCGTCATGCGTGCTTCTTATCTTACAGTTCCAGGGGAGCATGATCACAGGAACCAGCAGACGACACTCTGGTTTTGGAAATTCAGAAATAGTACCATGCACGGTAGCATTTCTCCAAACTCTGGTACGCAAGTGCTAGCAAGTTTCAAGAAGCTCAACCGAGAACGGAGGTGCTGCTTCCCGCCGGGGGAGAAAGAAAGAGAGAGAGGAGAAAAGTTATCTAACCAAGAGGTTCAAGAACTGATTGGAGCAATTAAAAAAGGCTTGTCTAGGCCAAAAAAAAAAATTAAAAATGGCTTGTTTAGGCAAAGGTGGCATCCATATTGAAAAAAGTGAACTTGGCTTTTATTTTTTTTAGTTTTACCATATTGTATATTTACAGCAGAAACATACTACTATTCCCTTGAGGATTTCTGAGCAGCGGCGATGAGTACGAAACATGACAATGGGAATATTACAGTCAACCTGACCGAGATCTCGCCCTAGAGTCCTAGACCGATTTCCATCTTTATTACACCAGTATGTTTTCCAAATATTACACCAGTAAAAGCAACAAAATAGTAAACAAATTTAGCGACTGAAGGAAACAGGAGGATTGCGTATGTATGGGCTGTGGTTTCTGAACTCTTGTCTACCCGGGTTCACATTTATCATCTACGTTAGAAGATTATATCCTGATTGACGCAGTAATATGGCAAGTTTTAGGATGGATGTCGATTACTGGATACCAGAAACAGAAAGCAGAGCTACCTACGGACAGATCCGAGTTTTTTTTCTTTTTGCTCATGTCTTCCAAGCAAGCGTGCTTGAGAACACAGAAAATTCTGTCATATATTGGTTGGGTATTTGCCAGCTTTAAATTACTTGAAACGTAAGCAAAATAATTTTTTTAGTTACTATTGGAGTAGTAAAATTTCTTCAGTACTGTACATGAAACGGGCGCAAACGTAGGTAGGCAGGAGCAGAGAGAGAGAGCTCTCTAGTACAAAGGGATCGCCATTGGCGTGGCTTCTTGGGCACCTCCACAACTATTTTCTCCAGTCTCGGAGGCTCGCATGGACATGGCATTGCAATGAACTTCGGAATTTGATCACCGGGCATTAGTACTGGCAAGCTCTGGTTTTGATTCTGCTTCATGTTCTACAACAAAAGAAATCAGGGTATCCAATTAGAAGCTGCAAATTGATTGAATTTTGTAACATCGACAACCAGAAGCACAAAACCAATTTATTGCAGCAAAATTTATTTCTTTTTCCATTAGAGCGAAGTTATGGGGAATCGGGTTTTTTTTTTTTTAATAAAAAAAAATTAAAATTTCCGGTTACCATGTGGGCAAGTTTAGGTTTCGAGGCGTCTTGAACACCATCTTCCTCGAGATCCGTGGCGCCGGGGAGAGATCGGCGGAAGGACCGGAGCTTGTCCCAGTGGTAGCAGCAGGAAAAGATACCGCTCAAGCTGAAAATGACGATCAGGAGGAGGGCTGTGCCAAGAGGGAATCCCAGAGACGGCCGTGAAGCGTCCACATGAGGAGGTGAATAATCTGGACTTTCCATCGCTCAAACAATTGTCTTTACTGCCACTCAATAGGCGCCCTACTCCCCTCATCGAGGGTCGGAAAAAATCAAAGGATTCAAGCTTTGATACGAAGAGACTGGGAACCACAAAGATTTTCCTTAATTAATTATAAACCAGGTTTGGGGAAAGTGGGGATGGATAAGAGAATTGGTTACCGGTTAGTTCTACCAACTCTCTCTAATACCTAACAGTAGCGTCTTGCTAGTAGTAGGGAATGGGGGCAGAGCAAAGAGGAGAAGGCGGTGAGAATTTATAAATGGGAAGGGTACTGGTGCAGGTGCAAGTGTGAAGCAGCGGTAAAGAAAGGTACAGTTGCTGTCCGGGTCAAGGTACGGAGGAAAGGCCGGGACTCCTGTCCCACATGCTGACTCCTATCTTGTCTTAGGCCCCATTGTGGTCTATTTCTCGGTGGAGGAGAGCATGAACCGATGACTGAGTGCGCCCTCTATGTAATGCTTATTAATTTGCGGGCAGGCATTTATATTTATAGTTATATTTAGAAGAACAATACTGTAATAAACTCGAAGAAGGGATGCAGGAAAGCAGAGGAGAGGCGTCCGTCGGGTAAAAACACCTCTTTGTCAGAACGTGAAAAAGATTATGATGTGGCTTTTGAAAACTGGAGATATGAATATGATGCGCTGTTTAGCTGGAGGGCCGGCGCTGATCCGGATCACTTTAGACAGCTTCTTATACGCCCTGCCCCACCTTGTTCTTGCCCTGTCCTTTTACTCCTCCTCTTCGCCTCAGGTTTATGCTAATCACGCAGATGCCTCTTCCAAATTCAACATTAGACTTGTGCAGCACGCACCTCTCCTCTGCGAGAGGTATTTTTTTTTAGTTCAGTCGTGCAGTGCTGCTGCATGTAGCATATCGTTTCTGTTCGTTGCGTGCTAATCTCGAGTCCCTCGTAAACATACTTAAATAAATTAACTTGGAAACGTGTGATTTATTAATGACTGGAGCATGAAAGAGGTTTCTTGTTCCGTCACTCAACGACCGAAAAAATTAATGGTACTCCTCCTGCGGAAGTTGAGCAGTCCATGCATTATAGCGTTGGATTACTTATCACCGGCAACAACTGTAAGATGGGATCATTAATTAGTTTAAATCTTCTTTGACTGAAATTTTTTCTTTCCATTTTATATGATGCTGATAGGCAAAAAAAAAAAAGAGATTTTTGGGGCGGGCTTGTGTGTGACCTTTTGAGTTCCCAAAGGACGGCATGAGCAGGCAGAGAGTCTAAAATCTTTTTCCTAGGAGAATTAATGGAAAACAGGGGAAGGCATCATTTTCTTTTCTTTTCTTTTTTACCTCGTAAATGTTCTGTCTAAATGAGCTCATTCAACCCAACTTCCTAGTTACTAGAAGTTGTGTTTGGGTTTCTTTTTAAGCTATTATTTTATTTATATTATAAATATATTTTTAAATTTTACATATATATTATTACGTCACAAAAATGATTTTCAATAATACCTCATTCATATACATAGTAGCAAGTAATTTCTTGATAACAGCAAAAATACTCTCTAGAGGCTTTTTGGTTTTTCGGCCAATGGCTCTCTCAGAAGTGCCGACGAGTGTTTGGATAACACAACAATTATCTCAAATAATATTTCGCTTGTATCATAAGCACATTTCTCAACTCACATTTTTATATTTTCAATTACCTTTTTATCTCGTATATATCACATCACAAAAAAAGTACTGCAGTAATCATTTCAAATAATACTAGTCTATTCAAACTAGGGGTGTTTCGCGAATCGAACCGCTCGCGAGCCGATCGCGAGCGGCTCGAATACGAGCTCGACTCGAGCTCGTCAATATCGAGTTCGAGTCGAGCTCGAGCTAATTAAGTCGATCTCGAGCTCAAAAACATTAACCTCGTTGGCTCGCGAGCTCAATTATATATATATTTTTTATTTTTTATTTTAATAGTAAAATTACATATATATCCCTAATATTTTATTATTTTTTAAAAAAATTATTATTTTATTTATTTTTAAAAATAAATAATTATTTTTTATTTTTTAAAAATAAAATAATAATAATTATTTTTTTTATTTTTTAAGCTCGAGCTCGACTCGAATTTGACTCGAGCTCGAGCTCGATCTCGATATTTTGAGCTCGTCGAGCTCGAGCTCGAGCTCGAATTTCACAAAATTAACTCGAGCTCGGCTCGATTAGCCAAAACTCGGCTCGAACTCGGCTCGTTTGCACCCCTAATGATTCCAAACTAATAAGAGGTGGCATTCCAGAGACAAAGAAAACAGCAAAAATAAACCAAAAATCTCAACAATTCAACCTCTCCGCCCTCCTCACCTTTTGCCTAGCGGTGAATACAGTACTTTCATCTAATGACGGTTTGTCCCCGAGGAAGTCAACTTTGAAACGATTGCAAAAGTGTATTTTGCTTTCTGCTTTTTCGTGACAATTCTTGGACTCAAATCACTCGCATTTCGTTCTCCGCAAGTGGATTCTCCTAAATATCAACGGATAAAGAAGAACGAAAATATCTGAAAACTTAGTTTCAGCAGCCACTGAGATTGACAACTCTAATTGGGCCATGAACAGCTGCAGCACTAGACTCAAAACTCTGCATTCCATCCAAATCACAATACCAGAGCTGGCGACCGGGAAGAAGGTCCCCCATCATCGGAGCTGCAAAGGCCGCCACAGGGTTGCCTCTCATCAATTTATGATCCTCTTTACCCTCTCGTCATCATAACTTAATGCGTTCCATTCTGGCTGCTAAAGCAATTGCAAGTTTGCAACACCAAAGTTTGAGCAATGCAAGTTTAATGGCTCTATAGAGTTTCAAAATTACCGTCTGATTGCCGTAATTGGACATACAATACAGGTCTATCAATCGAGGTTTAATTCCAAAAAAAAAAAAAAAAAAAAAAAACGAAGGTGTAACGGAGACTAACTAGCCGTAGTCAAGAACAATTTGGCTTTTGAAATCGTAGAATACTTTGGCCGAATGGAGGAGTAAAAAGCCTTAAATTACATGTTGAAAATTGGTTCAAGATGTTTCGGCACGAAATTAGATCACATGCATGTCATTTTCGGGTCCCCCGTCTTTTTTTCCTGTATGTCAGTATCATCCACTTGATGTTCGTGGTGACAGTGAACTACTTGTCTAAATATTTTTCCTGCAAGATTCTGTTTCTTCAAAATAGGCTGCCCTGTCAGTTTTAATGCGACTGCTCTTTGTATTTTGGTTGTGTCTTCACTGTTGATATCATTCCTCTAATCTTTTTTTTTTTTTTTTGGTTTTATCTGAGGACGCGAGGGACTATGCTAATCAGGTCACTGCTCCCTTTCTTGATATTTTCTTGTCCTGGAACCAATCTATAACCGTGGCAAAGTAAGTAGCCCTGGCAAGTCCAATGCCAAAATGGGATTTCTGAAGCAGCATATGCTTTATCCAGACATTCTCGAATAGCATCCTGTAAGCCAAATATCCCCCTATCATGATTTGATTTCATTACATTATAATTAATCCTCAAACTGAACCTTGAAAGCTCAAAAGTGAATATGAATAATGTCTCTTGACTTTTTTCGTGCTTCAAGCAACGCTCCCAATTGGCAAAGTGCTGTGAGTAGAGCTTGCTGGGGTGGCATTATTATAACCAAAAACACATCAGACGTAAAATAAACGACGCTGGGGCATTGGTGCTTACACTAGGGAATTCTAGAAAGGCAGATTCAATAAGAAAAAATAGACAAAATGGAGAGCGTGCATGAAATGATGGATACAATTCACAAGAACTTCATCTCATTATTCCGCAAATTGACTGAACAATAGAGCACTCAGAAACCATGGGGTCTATGACTATTATCATCACATCCTGAACAGGGTTGGGCGTTCTGATTCTTGGCTTGTCATCTCAGCCGTCCGTTGTTCTTTGGCAATCATGTATTTGCGCACTTGTGGACCGCAATTAATCTTTGCCTCATGAGGGATGGACTTTAATAGCACATGTATATGCGATTCACCTAGACATATATGCATGGCTAAGGTGCGGTGCAAATGCAATTCTCTTTTGACTTGAAGTTGTTGATTAGGCTAATCAGCTGCACCAAAACCATCTCTTGCTGCTCTATTGCAATGGGGGCATGCTTCTTCAACAAACAATATTTATACTAGGCTAAACTACACAATGGCCCCTAGGCTATAATCGTAATACTACTTCAGTAGCAAATTACCTCTTTTTCACGAAACCTACGAATTGTTCCTTGATGACTGAAAGTCAAATATTGTGACTGAATTATCTCGCGACCCTTTTTCGTCATTTTTTTTCTTTCTTCTTCTTCTACTTTGCAAATCTTTGTACATGAATGAAAACTCTCTCGCTGTCATTGTTCTTAACCATACTCCCTATATATCGCGTTGACCCTTTTTTTCATCAACTCTAAAGGCGCTACATCGTCTGTTTTATCCAAAACAGAAGCATTTCCTATACATTTGTCATTGATCTCATTACCCATGAGAAGGGGTTAAAAAAACCAAACAAATACCACCTTTCTTTGCTCACATTGATCATGGTTCTAGCCATCAAAGTCTGCATTGATCCTAGATGAAGTATAACGCTGAAGGTATTAGACAAAAAAGGAGACGAGATTTCGTGCACACACTTTTCTCCTGTTAGTTAACTTCTCCAAACTTCCAAGAACGTAAAAATAGAGAAATGAAGGGAAAGAAAAAAGGACAGGTGTCTGTCTGCAAAGGAAGGAAACCACAGCCTTTCCTCCCCCAGTTTAGGCCGAAGGTAAGAAATGTCCATTTGCATTGGGCGGGCTTCAATTGAAGGCAGATCATTGGACCAATCAGCGACACAAATTACTAGGCCCAAAACTCAGGCTGTTAGGCCCGTCACAATTGCCGATTGTTGATTAATGGTGGAATGCATTTGGGCCTGGCTGATTGATTTTTTGCTTCACACTGCCATAATCAAATCATAAACTTGTCAAATTTACGGAGAGTTGTCGGAGCCTTATCTTTGCAAAAAATTTTACGAGGAAAAAAGAAATCTTGTCAAATTTATGGAGAGTTGTCGGAGCCTTATCTTTCCAGGTACGCTGATCGACTGAAATCATCTGCGTAAAAGATTGATTGATCTTTCAGCTTGTGGTCCTATAGATAGTAGAAGTTATGGCGGAACAAACCAATTAAACAGGTCCGTTGGCTTATCCAGGTTTTCTCTTTACTCGGAAAGCAACTAAAGTTCTATAAAGTCAGCTGCGGATGATGACAATAGTATAATCCTACAACTTGAATCCCTAAAAAAGAAAGCGAATAAAAAAAAATGAAGAAGAAGAAAAACTGAAAGAGGATAAGTAACTGGGCAGCCTTCATATTAATCTTGATCCGGATGGGAAGCATTTTCTTGGTCCCCCAAAAACTTGTCACCTAGCCATGAAACAAAAAATAAGATGATAAACTAGCACAGTTGCACGTGCTTGAGCTTCTTGCAGCGAAGCACCATTTTGGTGACAAGTTGCAAATTAGCCAGATATTTCTGTAACCCATCTACAACGTGACTAAGCTGCAATCAAATCGAGTCGCAAGCATCGTGTTTGAGTCGAGTTATCGAACTCAAATCGAGTACAGAGAAATGCAACTCGTTCACTTGCTTGCAAATCAGCTCATATATATATATATATATATATATATAATATTGTTATTATTTATTAAGAAAAAATTGACTATTTTATTCTTTTTTAAATTATAATAATTATTTTTTATTTTTGAAAACTTAAGTAGATTCAACTTTGAGTTCGACTAGGCTCAAATTTCGTATTGAGTTCAAATTTGAGTTTTACATTGAAAATTAGTTGAAGATAAAGTTAAATCGAAACTCGACTCAATTAAATCAAAATTCGACTAACATAGACCTAACCAGCAGTAGAAAG